GTATCACAGAGACTACAGACAACTGTTTAATCATAACCAGCAATACATAGACATTCGCTGTTACATCAAACACATCGGCAAACCATTTGGGAAATCGTTATATGAATAGTGAATATCTCGAGAATATATTCCTCATATATTCTTCTACCTAATCATCAACTATACGGATATATGATATATTGCTTACACACACAGAATATATTCCTCACAGAATATTCTCATATAATATACATGAAAATCACATACGGAATCGATATAATTAAAAAGGGATGAGCCGTCCGTCCAGGAGATCTCCGAATCGCACGACGCGTTGTTTGGGAACCGTAGCAAAAACGGCGAGTTTTGCTGCAATGAGTGTAAACCGCGGGACAGGGCGTACACGGCGTCGTACATCAGCGCCGGGCCGGCCTACGAGTCGACAAAAAACACAAAAAAAATATTTTTAATTAAATCTACCAAGCTCAAATTAAGTCATGTGATTTTTTTGATGGATTCCTAGCTCCTAATGTCCGCTCCCTATATAATGGACGCAAACTTTTTTTGTCATACATTTCCTAATCTCTTAGTGATATATGAAAAGCGAGTGTTTTGTCTCTCGCTATCGATTGTATTTCAATGAAGGGTTTCCATCACTAAAAGGCATTCAAAAAAGGGGCCATCCATTGAAAAGGACGACTCACTACTGTATCACTAATTATTGTTTAATCCATTCACTACTCGCCAATCGATAGCATAGATATCGTATAAGAGATGCTCTTTTTTCATGTGATATATCAGTGGAAAGGGAGTGGACAATAGCCGGGTCGGGGAAACGGATCCTTTTTATGTTTTCAGAGAGACTATAACTATTCGAGTGGAGAGAGAGAGAGAGAGAGAGAGAGAGAGCACCGGTACCTGAATGACATTACTTTTGTTGAGTATATTATTTCCAATGGGTTGGAAGCGCTCGATATCTCTGAGCGTATGTCTCACTAATGGATTGTCGGAATCGACTAATCGGAAGGCAGTCATATTCACATAATTATACTTAAAGTCCTCCAAATTGAAAGTTTCCAGATCCTATATGTGCATTAAAAATGATAAAAAACACATAACATATAATAATATACAATAATGTTATGATAGCAATATCTATATACTAGCTAGCTACCAAAAAACAGCATCCTAATAAATCAATAGCTAGTACACAATAACTACACAATTGCTTAACAGAATATTCTCTCGCTATGTTTTGACATAAATATAAAAATAAAGTTTTCGCAAAAAATATAATGTATTAAAAAAATTTAAAATTAATAAATGAAAAATGAATTTAAACAAAACTTGTCTCTCGTATACAATACGAGTATTTTGGCGTTCAATAAGTAATATATCATAAAATTAATGCTATTTTATTATTTATGGTTTAAGTGAACTCTCGGATCAATAATTGCTATATTGTTATGAGTGGATGAGTTTTCTTATGGAAATTCATTGCCTACTCCTATAACTTATATCACAAAAATGTATTGAATTACTTAATGGCTATTATATAATAGACAAAGTGCTGCGAGAAATATAAAACAAAAAATTTTTCGCTTTCAGTTACAATCATAATTGCTATAATTAGATAACCAATCGATAATTTCATTAGCATGTATAAATAGTAACATATCATATAAGTTGCAAAATGGTGCTAGTATACTTACAAATGTAGTGAAATGATAGTGATATTTATATTCATTCATCTGGACCTGTAGTATCTATTGACACAAAACATTAATAATTAATATAATATACAAATATTTTCGCATATTTTCTATTATATGGAAAATCCTATATAAAATATACCCGAAAAATGCAAACAAGTTATTCACACGAAAACTAATTACAAATCAGATTTTTACGAGAAATATAATACAAAGAGATTACGAAAAAAAAATTTAAATTAATATTTTTTGTGCTTTCATTTTAATTAATTGCCAGTCATTTGTGTGTATAATATATTTCTATGTCTGAGATTATATGCAAATTTGTGATCGCATTTACATTTAGATTATGTTTTATCGCGAAAAATAATATTTATTACAAGAATTTACATTCAAATAAAAACAATCAAATGACAAATATTCCCCAAAACTCTACTCACTATAGAATCCTATGTTATATAAACACACAGAATATTCTGTATATATAACTAATTTCGCCTAAAAATACCGATACTTACGGCCGTTAATAACAGTGGAAGGCTTTCCGGTTTGGTATCCACGATAATCGAGTAGATATTTCGCATTTTAAGGTCCCTAAGAGTCTCGCGAAAATTCTCCTTGCTACTTTTCCTATATATAAACTGCACGTTTTTCCGTAGCGGCAATCGTACCAACTCTTGCAAACTTATTAATGCTTTTTTGTATTTGTTTTATGAAATTAAAAATAAATTATTTAATAGCAATGCGATTAGTACACAATCTAGGATAATTACATTACATATAATATTTTAAATAAATAAATGACATTTTTGTTTTGTCATTCAATATTAATCTCGTTGTATTAAATAGTGTATTAAATTCACTCTTAACTCTTTAATGGATAACAAAAATAATTAGTGGAAAAGTGTTTTGAAAATATGATGGCAAGGGATATATATATATATTCTGTACACACAATACTAGTCCTCTTATACACTACACTACAGTATGTATTGATTTGAAGTCAAAAATCTAGTGTAAACTTCGCTAAACAGATAACTACTGGAAAGGCAGTCATTGTTGTTATAGTAGTAGTCTGTAGTGTACTGTAGTGGCAGTCCTTATAAATTAGAGATTTTAGCTCAAGAGTCAGAGAGAGAGAGAGAGAGAGAGAGAG